TTTGTCCTCCAAGATCATAGGTTGATTTTGGGGTTTTCGTACAAGACATTCGAGAGGTAATTGCGTCCAAGTGAAGTCTTTTGGAGATAAAGAACGTAGGGGATCCTTTGTAGATAAAGAACGCAAAGGAATTTGCGAGATAGCGGTGGATTACAATTGAAGTCTTGTGTTGCAATAGTTTGAAATTGACGGTGCATGAAAATTTTGGAGATAAAGTATGCAAAGGAGTAGCAAGATCTAGATAGTCAATTTGCATCTATTGTGTCTTGGTCTTTCTCACGATCAAAAGAGGAAAAGGGGTTGAATCAACAACAAGCATTAGGGTTTATGGAGTTGCTCTTGAACACTTTTCTTGTATCAACTTTTTGTATAGTAAGAATTATCCTAATTCCAATACGTATCCACATGCGAGGACGACAATAGGGAACTGTGAAGACAAATTCTTTGTGTTTCTTTTATTTTTTCTTTTACTTGCTTTGATATTCATCGATCAATTTGTCAAATAGTATTGCGTTATCAATTGAATTGTAAGAAATATTTCGAACTGTTTTTGATTCTAAATCAAGTGTTTATATAGCTTATAATCACTTTTCTCATAAGTGGTTTTGTGTATCCACAACACTCAAAAAAAAATTCTGAAAATTCACTTGCACACCAAGTGTTTGATAAGTTGACTTAGTAAGTTCTTTTTAATATTGTCATTAGAAATAACTTTATTAATAACTTGCAATAAACGTTAAATAAGCTGTAAAGTGATTCAAACATATTAATTCCATTTGTTATTACTATTTAATATTGAATTTATTTTTGCATTGGCATATATGAGTTTCCAATAACGTTTGTAAAGACGAAATTTTAAAAAGCTTCCACTAATATCTGATAAAACAATTATTTCAAAATCAGACTTTTTCTTTCACCCCTCTAGATACATTATTGTCATCTAACATAATGAACTTGCAGGCATACTGAAAATGTCTCGACCTAGTGCAGCAATCCATATTGCCGAACCTTGGATCTGCATTGGAAAATAGCACATAATTATCATCAAATCTAAACATTCTACAACCACAAATAATAAAAACATGAACACATATTTAGTATAGCAAGAAAATCCACCAATGTATTGTTTTTATGATTGTCACGTTATCTCGCTAAATTTAAAAGGTGGTGGAATTCAAAAGGTACATACCTGCTGTCCATTGAGGTATACATTATTTTCCTTGAATTGTGATGAACCGAGATCCTCAGTAGAGGTCGAATTTCCTGTAGTTTCTGCAGAATTAGGATTATAACCACCATATGGGGAGGAGCCATATGCGCCATAGGTAACCGGCATTACATAATAAGCCGAGTTATCTGCAAAGAAGAAATCATGGCCTGTCAAGAGTAATGAACTTAGACAATGAGAGAATAAAACTCAGCAGTTTGTAAGATGCACAACCAAAAAATAATATTGCTAAGTATACGGAATTAGATCCTATATAGTTTGTTGTACGTTGTAGATGACTATAGACCGTTCGTATACTATTAAAATCAAACTTGATAGTTTCTTTATTTTATATTTTTTTATCTAACATAGGCATATCAATAAATCTACTGAATGCAACGACAATATACAGGTCAACATCTTGTTAGTTAAAACACCTTCCTGGTCTTGCCTAAAGGTGAAAAGTATATGCATTTTTTAATGTATCTGGAAGCCTAATTGATGTATAATGACCGATCAATTTTGACATCCTTCAAATAATAAGGAAACAAAGTCACGAGTCTTATAAATTCTAAAACATGAATTAATTTGTCCATCGACTCAAGATAATGATTCCCATACATATCCATGAGTTTTTATCTCAAAGTATCTCATAATATCATTAGCTATTAGGCAGATTCCAATACTTGACATCTAAGAGACTTTTCTTCAGCTGCAATTGACCCGTGCAACAATTTGTTTTGGGGATTCTAGAATCTTTGCTAAAATAGAGCCCGACAAGTGTATTACCTCATTTGTTCTCATGATTTATATCAATAATAATTATGACTAGAATTCCTGATACTATTGTTGCATTATATTAATAAAGAGGATTAGAGATTATGCAAGTTACATTTAATTCGTTTTTTTATTTGGTTAAGTATCTGCATAATTTCTTATATATATACATAGATATTGATCCATTTTTATATCCATGTTGTTTTCTTTTTCTTGGTTGGGTTATAGTGAATATATGATTACTCTATATATTTTGAATTGATTTTTATTGTATAATATAGAATCAATATGCCTTTTATGATATAGGAAAATATGAAGCAGTTATGTTGTCTAACTAAGTGTTTGTATCTGTGGATTCGACAATGCTTTGGTTTGTAAAGTGGTTATTCCTTGGTGTTGTTTTGTTGTCCTTTCTTGTTTTTTTAGGTGCTTTTTTCTTTCGTTTAGAGAATATGACTGTTTGTTTGGGATTTGGTTTGAAGTACTCTAAATTGAAATGTATGCATCTACAAATTTAGCTATGCAAATGTCCTCTTTTTTTTAGTACTGAATGCAAATGTCCTTTATATATCTTCTGATATTTGTAGACAAGTGGATTTGGTTTAAAATGTTATTTGATATTGATGGATCATAATATGTATGCATTGAGTAACTTAAAGTGTTATTTATTGATGGATCATAATATGTATGCAATGAGTAACTTAAAGCGTTATTTGGTATTGAAATGAATGTAGCTTTTTGATATTTGCACACCAAAAGAATGATTTTGTGTACAACAAAAAAAGTGTACTGCAATAGTATTTTGTAGAGAGAGTGTTATTAATGAAATGTCCTATAATAGCACTTTTAAGAGAAAGCGCTATCAAACATGTTTCATATAAGTGTTTTCTTTAAAAGTGCTATCAAACATGTGCCATATAACTTTGTTTGAAAGTGCTATCAAAATCAAATCAAAATGTGTATTATAAAACATAAAATGTCCACTTCAGTAGCTCTTTTGAAAAAACACTATTAAAAATCAGTACTTTACTAGCGCTTTTAAAGCGCTATTAAACAAAAAAATTATAATAGCGGCGCGGTTAATAGCACTTTTAAGTGCTATTAAAAACAAAAAAACGCTATTAAATAGCTTTTTGGCATAGTGACAGTAGACGATTGTTGATGCATCAAAGAAGATATGAAGGAGAAATTCTCAAGAGATTTGAGATGGAAGATTGCAACTCGACTTTGAAACCTACAGAACAAAGACTGCAACCGTCGAAAGAGTCAGAAGATGATGTCGACCCAACTCAATACAGAAGACTTATGGGATTCTAAGGTAACTTTGTCGCACAAGGCCTTACTTAACATACGATGTAGGTATGGTGAGTAAACTCATGCAGAAGTCAAAGGTATCACATCTAGCAGCGACAAAGAGGAAACTAAGATATCTAAAAGGAACTCTCGACTATGGAATTTTGTTCCCTGCAAATGATAAAGGAAAATAATGAAAGTTAGTGGGGTACACTGGTTCAAGTTGGTGTAGTGATGTTGAGAATCGAAAATCTAAAACTGGTTATATGTTTATGCTAGGTGGTGCACCAGTTGCTTGGAATTCGAGAAAGGAACTGGTAGTGGCGTTATCATCGTGCGAAGCAGAGTACATAGCTGCTTCTCTTTGTGTATGTCAAGCAACATGGATGATGAACTTAGTGGAAGAGATAACAGGGAATGATCATGGAGCAATTACGATAAAGATCAACATCATGCCAACTATCAACCTGGCAAAGAATCCGATAGCACAAGGTCGTAGCAAGCATATCGAAATGAAGTTCCACTACTTTCGAGAGCAGGTAGCGGATGGAAAGATGAATTTGAAACACTATAGAACTGAGAATCAGATTGCAGACATCATGACGAAGGGTGTGCAGGTCAAAGTGTTCAGAAGACTACGAGTTATGACGAATGTAGATAGCTTAAACACAATGAATTAGGTGGTGTGTTGAAAGTGTAATTCCTTATGTCGAAGAAGGTTGTTGCTCGACACAAGGTATGTCGAAAAGCTTAGTATGTTGAGTTGTTAGTTGTCGAAGTGTTGTAAGTAGGTTACTACACACAGATTTCGATTTAGATCTAAAATAGATATTTTGGGCTTTTATAGCTTTGAACTTTTGTCTTAGGGAGAAAGCAAGCTCATTATAAATAGAGAGAGTAACCCCTATTTTTGTAATCAACTCATAACAACTTGTATTCACAGAATTTTGCAGTTTCAACAGTTTATGGGCATACAAAAACTCTGCAAAAATCCTAATCTCTTTTCTTTTTTAATTTTCTATTCTTTTTATTGTCATTGTGTAGTGATAACATTCTTATTCATCAAGATTGATAGAAATTCTCCATAGGTTTTGGTGGATTTTCAAATAGAAAATTATTTATTCACTTGTTTAAAATATATCAACAAATTATAATACTTGAATAGTTGAATATTTTTTAAAATTACTTATTAAAAGAGTATTAAAATTGATATATTTATCAACTAATTAGTTATTCTTGTCTTTTCATTCCTAAAAACTGTAATCTGATAGAAAATTATTTATTCATTTGTTTAAAATATATAAACAAATTATAATACTTAAATAGTTAAATAATTGATTCTAAATATGTTTATATTTAAAAGAAATAATAATACTGAACAAATAAAAAAAATTATTATGTTTTTATAATTATATCAGAATCCTAAAATATAATTAAAAAATTCCTAAAATATATTGACTAAATTCTAGTCTTAAAAAAATAAATTGTGGTGATTGCCCACATCACACAACGTGGTTGCGTCCAAATCTACATTTCAATGTTGAAAAATACATTTATCTTTCTTGAACAAAATGAAAAAAAATCTTATCTTGTGACTCAAGATATAGGACATGTGTCTTGATAAAAAAATCTAGGACATATGATCGTAACCAATCTTTCTTTACACCTATAAATACATATCAATTTATCTAGTTTATACATAAACTCTTGATTAACATTTAACATGTCAAACATAGTTCAAAAAGACAAGTACAGATCTATTTTGCATGATGAAGATGAGAACATCCAGTGGAGACATGGTGGTCCTCCCACTTATGGTCTTGTCAACCACCTTTTTGAACAAGGAAGAACCAAAGTGAACCACCACATCTAACACCTTCTTAATCTTATCATTCTAATCCATTTCTAAATTTCTCAAATTTGTGTTAATTTTTTCAGGAATGGCCAGAGGGATCATTAGAAGAAATTGTTCAAAATGGTATTAAGTCTTGGGAGATGGAACTCTCACACAAGATCCGGTTGCAGGATTTCAAGACCATTGTGCCTGAAAAGTTTAAGCTCTTTGTTAATGGTAATTAATTAGTTAATCACATATGTGTCAATTTTTGTTTGGTATATATCTTTTTCCACTAGAGAATTTAATAGATATTTTTCTTCTATGCATTTATTTGTGGTGTGTGTTTTTTTTTTCCTTTACTACATTAACTAATTTGTTTGACAATTTTTTTTATAAGACACTGTTTGATTTGATGAAGAACTGTTCACTTAATTATGTAGCAATCAATCAAATTTTCTTATACAGGCAGAGAGGGATTAACCGCAGAGGAAACTCTAAGTTTAGGAAGCTATAATGCATTGTTGAAAAGTTCTCTGCCAGAAAATTTGAAGCCATACAATTCAAATGAAGAGACTTTTGAATCATCTCATGAAGTATTCAAATCAGCTTTTCCAAGAGGATTTGCGTGGGAAGTGATTAAAGTTTACACAGGACCACCTGAAATTGCTTTCAAGTTTAGGCATTGGGGATTCTTTGAAGGTCCATTCAAGGGACATGCACCTACTGGCAAAATAATCCAATTCTTTGGCTTGGGAACTCTCAAGGTATTTACTTTTATTCCATGATCTTAATACAATAATAAATTTTTACACCTTTGTGTCACGGGTTCGATCTCGCATCTTCTGCGGTCTTTACGTAGTTATTAACTGAGTTGGGTTAACATGACTTTTCTCTCTTTAATTTTTATACATCATAGAAACATTTATTGTTACCTTTTTACATTTGGAAATTTTATATATCACTATCATGATTGATGATCAATATATTTTTTAATCATAGGTGGATGATGCTTTGAAGGTTGAAGAGGTGGAGATTTACTATGACCCAGCAGAGTTGCTTGGAGGCCTTCTATCAAATGGAGATAGTACAAAAACTTCAGCATGTCCTTTTTCCGGTTAATAAATTACTTACTATAAAGTTATAAGTGAATAATAATAATAATAATAATCTTTGATCTAGCTGTACTTCTTGAATAAATCAATGGGAGCAGAGGGATTAAAAAAAATATTTCTATTTTGTGATAAAACACTGTGAGCAGAGAGAAGTTATTCTAGTATGTATAAAGGTGAATTCCTTTCTTTTTTATAATAATAAGATAATTTTTTTATAGCTTTTTGGCAATTCCAAATACATGTTATCATGTGCCGTATGTTGCTTTTCCCTTATGTATCGGGTCAATTAGAGAAAAATGAATTTTTTTATAGCTTTTTGGCAATTCCAAATACATGTTATCATGTGCCGTATGTTGCTTTTCCATTATGTATCGGGTCAATTAGAGAAAAATGAATGCAAACACAAAAAATATCGAATTTATTTGATTTCACTTTTCAATTTTTTCTAACAAAATCCAAAACAACGTGTAGCTGATATTTTAAAAAGATAAAAAGTTTATGTTAAGAAACCTATAATCTTCTATAAAAAAATATTGATTTTGTTTGAATTAGAGTAATCGATATTTTTTTGTTAGGATTAGCGTTATTCTTTTCAATCATCTCAACTTAACACTATAACACAAAAAACCGTTAGAATCAAATTAACAATGCTCGACTGTTACACAATTACGATTCGACAATTTGATCGGACGGATCGACTTGCTCTGATACCAACTTGTAACACTTCAATTCTACCCGACAATTATTATAAAATCAAAATTATAAAAATTCAACAACCAAATCAGAATGCTACAATTTCAACTTAAGACAACGACATTCGTTACAGATACATAATACATTAAACTTGGATGAACCAACGACAACATGATTTAATCTTTTGAAAACAACAATTTTCATAACTATGCAGCGGAATCGTAATATTCGACTATAAAGAACATAACATCTTTGTCCAACTGAAACAACTTCAAATAACAAGTATTTGACGAACGACACCTTATAGTTCAATCAACTGAAATAATAACAACAATAAAATAACAAGCGTTCATCCCCCCGAGTGTTACGTATCAGAGCAATGACACCGACTCGAACTACTGAAGGTAAACCGCCTTCACTCTGGGTTACCTGCACGTTACCAACATTGGGGTAACATTCAAACAGAAGGGGTGAGATATGTAACAATATAATTGAACGTATGATAAACATTATATTAGAATCAGTTCATGCAAGATCACCGCTTCACAACTTATAAACAACAACAATCCCGACAAAATATCAACAAAATATAACGATTAATTCATCAATACAACAACTCAAATATGTAATGTGAGACGCGACTCGTTATAATGCGTATGCATGTGGTACCAATGGAGCAGAACTACCAACTTAATAATTTGCCAATTAATAGAGACATCAACAAGGCATAAGCCTTCAAATTTATATTTGCCAATCCAGGTCAACTTAACGAGCATCAGCTCCAACATGATATGCTATGTATGCATTAACAACATGAACGTAATAACAACAGCAACAATAATTCAACTTAATTCAACATTGGCCATAAGCCTACAACTCAATAATTGTCAACCAATAGAGGCAACACAACAAAATTCATCACTTGCAACTTCAACAACTAATAACAACAACACAATCACTTACACATGCCAATACTTTTATTAACACGATCCTACTAAAATGCTTCTACGAAATTATTCTGCTAATAAGCTTTATTAATAGTTTTCTGCTAAATTAATGAAACCATTATTTTCCTGCTACTTAAATCATCTCTAATGCTACTATGTTTTAGTTGCTAAGGTTTCCGTTATTTACTACTAGCTATGTAACTAAAACCATACCAGTTACTAATATTTTAACTCATTAATCTTGCCTGCTAAATATTTACTACTATTACTGTCATAAATTACTGCTACCAACAATTATCATTATACTGTCTGCTATTACTAATTTTCTGCTACCATTTTCTAACTTTGTTGCTTATTATTGTTAACTCTGTAACCAACCAATTACTTCTGCTACATGTACACCCACTCTGCTAAATGAATTTAATTAATAACTCTGTTACTTTAGTTAATCTTTGGAATACCATGGTTCCCCTCGGTACACACACATTATACTCGACACTCACACCACCAAATTGGGTTGCTCGACACACCCTTCACGACAACCGTCCCAGCCGAATTACCCGTGCCCCTCGTCACACTAACCGTTCCCCTCGATACGGCATGCTTTCACGCAGCCTTTCACAGACTTTAGTCTGTTACTGATACCAACACAGAATCTTCCAATTTTTATTTCGATTACAGGTCTCATACCAAAACAAGATATTTATAGTAACATAGCAAGCATACCCACGTCAATACATGATAATTTTAACACTCGATTCATCGATTGAATCACTGCAACATTAGCACAAATACCATAAATACCAAACAACAATTTGTTAATACAACAATCACACACAACAACAATTTTACACAATTCAATTCCTACGTAACATGCATCATAATTCTCATTATAAAGTCAGAACCTCACCCTTACCTTGGATTGAAGGTCGCTCTACGATTTTCCGATCGGCCCTAGCCTTGTGCCTCTTCTCCTTATCTCTGTAACATCTCACGTACAACACTTTCTCTACTATTTCTTTTAATCCTTTTTAATTAACCTAATTTCTATTATTTAACTAAACTCAATAATATTATTATTTCTATTGGGTCTAATATTCACACCCCCTGAATACAACGTCTATTACCAAAACAAGCCTAACAACTAATACTAATAATATTCTACAATTCTAATATTATTACTAATATCATTAATCAACTAATTTAACCGACTAATAACAACACCGCAAATTATGTCAATAACTCCCAACAAACACAATATGTCAACAATTTCAACAAATAATTCAAAACTAATTGAAAATATCTAATTAAATAATTAATTAAATCAATGGGCGTTACAGTAGGCAACTTCAATGCCTAAGAAGTAGAAAAGAGTGCCTAAGTCCTTCATCTCAAACTATTTGGCTAATTGTAATTTCAAATCATTAATTTCATCCATATCATCACCTGTAATAATCATATCATTAACATATAATGAGTGTAAAATACGACCATGATAAGTGGTCTTGAAAAACAAAGCAGAATCATGACCACTAGGGAAAAACCAATAGATGTAATCACAGTGGTAAACTTCTCAAACCAAGCTCGTGGATCTTGTTTCAGACCATACAATGCCTTCTTCAAGTTACATACTTCCCTTTAATTATGAGAAACACCTTGTAGAGGTTCCATATAAACTTTCTCTTGAAGATCACCATTTAGAAATGAATTTTTAATATCCATTTGATAAATATGCCACCAAAGAACAGATGTAATTGCAATAAGAGTGCGAATAGTAGTCATCTTAGCAACAAGATAAAATATTTATTAATAATCCATACCATATTTTTGAGAGAATCCCTTAGCAACAAGACGTGCTCTGTAGCGCTCAACTGACCCATCAGACTTAGTTTTCATATTGTATATCCAACGAGACCTAATAGCATATTTTCCAGGAGGAAGAGGTACTAATTCCCAAGTATCTATTTTATGCAAAGCAGAAAGTTCTTTTGTCATAGCCTACTGGCAAAGAGGGTCAAGAATAGCCTTTTTGTAGGAAGATCGAGGACTCAAACAAATTGTGTATAGAGGTTAGAAAATAAGAAAAATAGGAAGAGCAAATGGAATATACAAAATCAGGCAATTGAGTAGACTTACGATCACGAGAGGAATACTGAGGAGGCCGAGGATCAACAGTCGTAGGAGGTTCTTGGGTAGCCGCGGGGACAAAAGTGATATCAGTATCTAGAGTAGTAGTAGTAGTAGTATCAGTCCGACAATTCTCAAAATTACAATCACTAGTAATATTATCATTGTGACCAAAAGGATCGATATGAGTGAGTTTTAAACTGCTAATAGTATAAGAATCAGAATAAAGAGAGTAAATAAGAATGTGTTCAAGAAAAACAACATGACGAGAAATATACAATTTCCTTGCACCAGGATCATAACAATGATAACCCTTTTGACCATCCCCATAACCAAGAAAAACATATATAGCAGAACGGGAATACAACTTACTACGTTCTACTTGTGGATGAAGAACAAAACAAGTAGAACCAAACACTTTCAATGAGGAATAAGCAGGGACAAAGTTATACAATTTTTCAAATGGAGACAAACCTAATGTGACAAACGATGGAATTCTATTAATAACATGAACAACAGTAAGAAAAGCTTCACCCTAAAATTTACTAGGAACGAAAGCAGACAACAAAAGGGAGCGAGTCGTCTCAAAAATGTGACAGTGTTTCCTTTCAGCAACTCCATTCTGTTGAGGTGTATCAGTACAAGATGTTTGATGAATTGTACCATCAAAAACAAGAAATTTATAGAACTTATGGAAGGTATATTCACCACTTAAATCACAATGGAAGCACTTTATAACAACATTATGTTGTGTCTTAACCATAGCACGAAACATACAGTAAATGTCAAAAAAATCATAATGAGTTTTCATAAGATAAACCCAATAATAATGAGTATAGTCATCAATAAAAGAAACATAATATCTATATCCGCACTTAGTAAGAAGCGGTGATGGACCCCATACATTAGAGTGAACCAAGTCAATTGATGCATATGAAATGGAAACCCTTTTACTAAATGGTAAAGCTGAAAATTTAGCAAGTTTACAACCATAAGAGTATGAGATATCACTGGTTTATAACTTTCCTAAAGCTCCAGTAGAAGCCAAATACTTTAATCTAAAAGAAGAGACATGTCCAAGACGGTAATGCCATAAATAAAAACTAGAAGACAAATAATTTGTGAGTGAAACTTACTTCCATATTTGTTTTGAATGATGTCAAAAATACGAGAACCTAGAATTTCAGTAATTGGACGTTATTGCTAAGTTTAGTGTGGCATCCCATTCATTTAGAAGCCT